AAAAAGGGAAAAAGATAAAAGAAAAGAGGGAAAAAAAACCCGCAATGATGCGACGGGGGGGCCGAAAAATAAAAAGGCAAAAAAAAAAAAAAAAAAATTCAGAAGAAAAATAAGCCTGGCCGTGATATGCTGGGCTGGCTTCTTGAGTAGTGAGTGCACTGCTTGGGACTGCTTAGGAGTGCCGTCCAGATTCGATTTGCAGACCAAAAGTCCAAACGGGGTCGACAACGGGTCCCACAGCCTAAGCAAGGAAATGGTGGTGGTGGAGCCTTGAAAGTGCAGCCGTTTCCGTCACTGGGTCTTTTTTTTCGGAGTGTCGCTCGTGAGGCCGGCTGTGGCAAGGCGGGAACCGTAGTAAAATACCCAACTAGTCCGAGTAGTACGTAGTTTGAAGGATGGATAAATTGGATTTAGGTAGGAGGGCAAATTCAAGGGATTGTGAGAACCGGAGTTGATGCGATCAACTCCACAGAGAGAGAGAGAGAGAGAGAGAGAGAGAGAGAGAGAGAGACAGAGCTGACTAAGTCCGACACTGAGATGTTGTGTCGACTAAAGATAGAACAGGATGAGATGATGAATGAGATGATGCGATCACACTCAGAAGGGTTCTGGAATGGCGGTTAGTCAATCGATGATGAACAAAGACCAACTCTTCTCCACAGAGTCATTCACTGAGGAAGTCCCCATAGAGTGAGTCAATAGAGAAAGAAAGAAATTGGCAAGAAAAGGTTGTATTCAAGCAACAAACAAAGCAGGAATTGTGAATGAAGGAAGGGTAAGAAGATGAAAGGGACGGATTGGCTGCCTACCGGAAAAATTGGTTTGCGAGTGCAGGAGCAGAACAATGGCTGAGAGTATGGAGAGTTACTTCGAGTTACTTCGCACAAGGTAATCCTAAGCCAAGAGATAGCATACAGTGACATCCGCAATCAGCAGGATCCGGAGGACCTTATTAGTCTTATGAGTATTAGGTCTGACCCTGAGAATTTTTCCGTCGCCTGAGATGCGTCGGGGTCGAGTCGATCACGCCCTCGTAAGATCAGCCCTAGACGGCTGTCTGGTTATCCGGTGGCCAAGGCCTACACGTAATTCAGGTACAACAGCCACACTGAAGAGTAACGATAGCGACGATCAGTATGGCGATAGGGATGAGGACATGCGTAGTCTACTGTGGAGTTGGCAGTACAGTACTCAGTATGAGTACGGAGTATCTCAGCTGTACCGTAAGTGTGCAAACCTCGGGATCATCCTTCCCGCATGATGATACGCGGTCTAGTCTAGTCTCCTTGAGGTAAATCACCTCCAAAGTCGCATCTTCCCGCTGCTACTGCCCGCTGTTACTCCCCGACCTCATCCATGTCTCGAATCTCTTTTGATATGAGAAGCAGCCAATATCTCTTCTGTTACTGGATCTCATGAGCTCTCACATACACTACCCCTCGGTTTCATGGACACCAAAGCGCATACACACACGCGCGCGCACGCACGCACGCACGCACAGCCATGCAGTCGCAGGTCGCACCGCAGCAGCTTTGGATCCCACCTGCAGGGAGTATGCAAGAGATCGTGACCAATTCCAGTTCACCCTAGTATTCGTCACTCCTGGTGCCCCACAAGGATGATGATCTATCTGCTTATCATGCTACCGGGAGCCCTGCAACATTCGGTATCATATGTTGTTCGCTTGCTACAACGATTTCCCCTCTCCGCCTCTCCTCCTCACGGAATAATTCATGCAGTCCTCCCCGAGGCCAACTGCCGGGTGGCATGACATCCAGCCAACAGCTCAAGCCATGCCAATCCTCTCGGGAATAGGTATGATTGGAGAGGGGGCGAAACAAGCACATGAAATCAATCGCAGGGGAAAGGATAATTGAATAAAAAGTTAGTGAGGTGTAGGGGTCTCTGTTGGAATCGATGTGACAGCAACCCTTCCCGAGCTTTCAACTATCAAGGATGAAGCTCAAGTTTTCGCAAACCCATGCCTGAAGTGGAGAACAATCATCCATCCATTTGATTTTCTTCGGGCAGCACCATTAGCGTTCCGGGCCACACTCCACCACGGGTATCTTTGACAGTTGAAGTTAGCAACATGAATTGGTGTGACCGACCGATATACTCGTACATAAGACCACCCAATTGCGCTACCCAGCTTCACACAAAGGAGGGGCAGATTCGAGACTTTTGATATGGGCGGGGCGTTGGCGTAATCTACGCACAATGTGTGGAGTTTTAACTATCAGCGTTACATTGGCCGTTCGATTCTGAGACAAATGTGAGTAAAAGTATGCTCAACAGCCCGATGTCAACTTGCAGTTGGTTTTGATGACCGTGGTAGTATGACAGGTTCTATTTTCAGATGATAAAGTACGTATTGCTCAACACGGCTCCAGCCAAAGACGATCTCCAAAGCTTCAATATCTCCTGCTGCAGCTCAGCGCACGAGGATGCAGAACACTCACGCACTGGACATGATTTCAGCAAGCTCGGCTGCAACCCTCAGAACTGGGAGTCAACTGACATGGGTAATGGGGCGCCCGCAGAGTCCATATACTAGGAGGGGTATCAGAAAAACATTTCGTGTGAGAGGGCGACCGACCGGCTTCTAGAACGGACACTTCGATCTCCTAGTCGGACCCTCTGGTTTACTCCGTAGCTACTCACCACCTAAGACTTACTATGTACTACCTACCTACCACTTCCTACCTAGTCCATCCGACTTGGGACGGTGGACCCGGGTAGACTAAACTTGTCGATGCATCAATATCATACACCGCTATCGGGCGCTCTCGGGGACTGTTCCGGCGAGGGTCGGGGGAAACCGCATCCTTTTCGGCGGCCGGCTGTCATCCACCCGAAATTTCGATGGTTATCGCAAGCTAGACTATGAGTACGACTTGCCGTCTCAAATATTGCTCGGAATAGAAAGAGCGCAATCGAAATCAGCCGGTATATACCGTAAGAGTGACGCCGATTGAATTCGTTTCGGAAGGAGGTTGTCGCGACTCGGACTCTTGATGCAAACTATGATGCGATAAGCATGTTCCAGGCCCCTTTTAGTTTTGGCAGATGCTAAGATTTTTCGGCTTGACAAGAGCCTGGGCCCACTGCTCCGTTGTCAAGAGTCAAGAGGGATTTCGGTCCCTGACGGTCAGTGAATGGCCAAGTCTGCAATCGCTATCTATGACGGACGAGACAATTGTATGCCAATCGACGCGGTGAGTCAAAAGGAATGCCCGAACCAGATCATCGGAGGAGTGATTTGCAGAACCACATCGAGTGATCACATCATCCGAGCCAGAAAAGTCAATCAGGTGGGCCGGAATACAAGAACAAATTCAACTTGGCGGCCCACTTGCGATTTGTGGCTTCGGGATGTTGCAAACCACAAATCATGATCACTGAAAAATCCTCCCGAAGGTGAACTTTTAAGATCTTGTTCTCGCCTTGCACTCTTCCGCAACCTGATACGAAATCATCATGATTCCCCGTTCGCTGCGATGAACTCTGTAGAGGTAGACTACACAGTTTACACAGTTCTCATGGCTCTTGGCGTTTACAGCCGTAAGGCTTGGTTTTCAAGGGGCATTTCGTCTTGCACCCACACAATCCCAGCACGTGCTCGACACAGGCACGTAAGCTCCGCGCCTGGATTGGGTAAGAATCATTCGAAGATGAAGCGTCGTCCATGCCAGTTTATCGCCACAGCCGGGCGACCAAAAAGTTCTAATCGTGCAGTTACCAATTCAGTCTAGACGAAGCACGGGCCCAAAGACCCAGGACTCAGGAGCGAAGAGTCAGACAAGGCACGGAATGCCGTGCTCCGTTAAGATCCAGGGGCCCATAGGCCTTTTTCGGCTTGCCGAGTCCTCTGGCCTGCGGCCCAGCCCTGTCCTGTCCGGTGTCCCCTTTCGGCATAGATAGACCTGCCATCATATCACTGTCAAGGATAGGAAGATCCGAATGGACCAATCGACTTATCATGAAGATCCAGACGATGAGATCAGAAGTACTCCTGTACCAGAAATTGGCTTCCGTAGCGGATCGACGCGACCAAGTATGCTGGCTCGGGAAGCACTCTAGAGTCTAGATAAAAGTCAGGAAAGTTGGACGGTCAGCCAGCCCGCTCGCCCCCCCTGCAGCAGTAGTGACCAGTTAGTGTGCTTCGGATTTCAGACAGTTTTGTCTAGCGGTTGTAGTGTGATGAACTGATGATAATGGCCGGAACTATTAGCAGCCTAGCCAGGTACCGAGCACGGACGCTTTAAGAACCCACCAGAGAAAATTGTTGTTGCTGTTGCTGTTGTCGCTGCGTACGGAGTAACTTACATGTCGGGCAGCAGTCCTCCACCGCGGCGCCAGCCTTTCTTTCTCGAATGAGGCCTGTTGGTGCCTAAGGACCAACAAGCGGCAGCGGCGGACAGCACGTGGCCGGCCCTCAACCTCAAGTCCGGTTTCTTTTCCCGACCGTCCTTTTCATTCACTCCTTATCAGGAACCACCCCTTCTCTCCCTCTCCTTATCAATTGTCCGATTGTCGCAATAGAATCTCTATCTCGTCATCAATTTACCCGAGTTACGCGACCTTCCAGCCGAGGTTCGCTGCAATCCTTGCCGCCACCATCTAACTACTCATATATCACGATCGACCCATTCTCACAGGATGAGCTCACGTGTGAGAGAAATGGCGCCATGCCCCTTTCTGATGGTCTTTCAGAAGGCAAGCTTGCCGTGATGCTTTTCCGTACTGCTGAAGCGCATAAAGACAAATTGGGCCCGGAAAATACCTTTGCAGCTGGGGGGGGCATCGTCACATGCCACATGCAGATCAGGGTGATATCTACCCTTCCCATCCACTTTCATCCACTCTTTCTTATCATGTAATATCGCCGGGGTCGAGACTGCGATTAGATAATCGTGCAATTGCATTTACACTGCAGTCACCCGCTGGTCACATCCAGCACTGGAACGACCAGAAGACTTCCTGACTTTACAGCGATAGGCCCCCTTCACCGGTAAGAATCCGGTCTGAAAGGAATGCCCCAAGACGGACGATTGGATTCGGGCAGAGGAGGTACCCTTCGCTCGTGAATCGACTTCATCATCTCCAAACCCTCTGTGGCGGACAGACGGCCATGACGTACTGTTATCAACATGATCGGCCACCCAACTCTCTGGCTCTTTTCAACACCCCGGGTGTCTTTCTTCGTTTAAGCCACTTTCCTGGATAGAACAGCCTGGATTCGACCGCGGATTTGTCCTTAGCGATGTTTTTAGCCAATGCCCCTGGTCCCCCCATGTAATACTCATCATCAATGGATCTGCACCGCGGGAACGCAACAGCTCTGAAGCAAAGCATGCTGCATCGAGAACCACCAGCCCGCCCCAGCACGATCACCAGGACCAGCCGGTATGCGTCATATTGAGCTTGGACCGGAGGGATATCGAAGCAGAGGTTTCCACTGAACCCCCACGATCCGTTATGGGGAAGTGCTAAAGAGGGTATTTCCGGCGAGGGCCCGCGAAACCTCTCAGGCCACCTGCGCATTGTGGCGTTTGTTGCGTATACATGCACCCAATCAAGGGCCTGGTTCTGTCTGCTGACCGGCATGCTGATACTGTACAGAAGTTCCAGAATGCCTCCCTCACAAGATACACATGCACAACCACCGCTGCCGGTTCCCATTCGCTTTCATCCCGGCTCTTCTTAATGAACAATTTTGCCGGAGCCAAGCCTTGCAACCATTTAATTTAGCCAGTCAATCCAACACAGCCTCCTCTCACAATGGTGGTGCTCATGTTGTGCTAGTGTGGTGGATTTCAGGGCCACAGCATTGGCTTGCAGCGGACAAGCGTGTGCCATCGCCTGAGCTCCTACACCAAAGACAGACAACAATACTCTGAACCAATGATCGAACCGGAGGCACAGAGCCGCTTCCATTGGTGAAGACAATTGCAATCTGATATTGTATGCCCGGCTTTACGGCGTCCGTTCATATCCTGCTCCTGTGAGTTTCTACTTGAGTCGAGCCTAGTTTGGGGATGGTTGCATTGTTCGCCGGCCCAAATTCCACTGATTGTACAATCCTCATTATCGACAAGCTTGCTGTTAAATTCACTGTTGCTCGACTCGATACTGATCGAGCTTGCTGCTTTCTTGTCCGTCTGATTTGCTCTCGAGGCCTTGCCACGAATGCTGACAACTAAACGCTTTGTCTGGATCTGATTTTGTCGCCGCCGTGGCTGTGCCAGGTCTAGGAGCACCTCTTTCTGCCCTGTTGAATCATATCTCCGCACGCACTGATACCTCTTCCTTTAGCAGTGCCACAAGGAGAATAGATACATGTTCGACATGGCCTGCCATAGCCACAGTGCTGTCACTAATGCTCGAAGAGACACCAGCATTTTCTGGCCGTCTCCAGCATCAATCTACCACTCTTCTCTCTGATGTCGATGAGAATCAGATGGGAGAATAGACCAGGAGTTGGGTGTAAAGGCAGCGGGGGATGGTCAAATAGTTTGTAAACGAGTTTCATACATCCACAGCAGCCATGCACGAGCCTTCCGACAACCACAAATAGTGACCTATCTAGCTCGACCGTACTGCACCCGCCAAGAAGAGAGCAGACAACCGACGCTGTGATCTTCCCAACTAACCTCACAGCAGTAGCAGCAGCAGCAGCACATCCAGCAAACCAATATAGGCTCGACCAAGCTAGCAGCTAATGTCTAGACCAACCGGCCGAAGGCATGGCTATCACGAAACGACAAGACCTACCAGAGGATCGCAACGATCCAACCCAGCCCACTACGCTGGCCAGTAACTGAACATAATGAACAGACAATATACACCCACTACACCCTTGTAACTCCCCCCCACCAAAAGCGAAAGAGAACCCACAATAATGCATCGGTCTAAATAACCCTAAAATCGAAGCTATAAGTACAGTCCAAGTGAAAACAAGCTATGAACACCACCAAGAAGTAAAGCCAGGGGGATCAACAACCCCCCTATCATCGCTATACATAAAACCCAGTCTAACCCCAACCCCAACCCATCATCACCATAAGAATTAAAACGAACAGAAACGAAAGCAAAAGTCCCTTGTAACCCGCAAGTCGACCTGTCCAGAACATTACCCCGTCCTCCTCCCACATAAAAAGATAGAGAAGACACAACACAGCCAGCCAGCCAGCCATGACGACCCTGGATACCCTAGTCCTCAGTGTCCCATCCCGCCTCAAGACCACCACACCACAGACAGCAAGCAGCAAAGCTCTCCGCTGGCACCACCGCTCCGCGCCGCAATACAGCCGCATCAGCGAGCGACCCAACCCCTCAACCCCCAACCTCCAGCTGAGTTACTACCATCCCATCCCATCCCCCAACCCAACCCAACCCAACCAGCAAACCAGATGGGAGGCGGACCCTTCTAAAAAACCCACCCCAAAACAATCCACACCAGCAAGCCCGCCACGACCACAATGCCCGCGACCTTCAGCACGGCCACCGTATCGCCCTGCCGCGCCATGCGGGTCAACCGACTGGCGCTGCCCTTGAGATTCGTGGACAGAGAGGAGAAGACTTGATTCTGTGCAGCAGCGAAGCAAAAAAAAACGTCAGTTGGGAAAAACACCTCCCGAAAAAAAAAGGGAACGAACCGAATGGTCCAACGTCTCCTGATCCCTCGCATTGTCGTAGATATCAATCGTCACGGACTTGAGCGCCGAGACCTTCGAGGAGAGGGAGTTGAGGAGGGCGTTGTTTTGTCTACCCGAGTGCCAGTCGGAGTTAGTTGTTGGATCTTGCGAACGTCACGTCACGTCACTTCTTCTTGGACTTCGATTACAAAAGTCCAGGATACCCAGGGGTTCGATTTGGTTGTCAAAGCTGAAGAGGGGCGGCCGGGGGATAATCAAGGTAAGAACATCACATACTGTTCGCGCTCGTAGGCTTCGGCCATTTTCGCGGTTGTTTCGGTTCGTTGCGGGGCCGGGGCGAGGGTAAAGGTGCAAGGTTGTCCTAGGAGTTGTAGAGGGATCCGGTTCGTGAGATATATTGGGTGAGGTAAGTAAAGCGGAGTGCGGAGTGCGATGTCTATTAGGATAAGGAAGATGAAGAAAAGGACCGGGGTGTGAGGCAGTACGGAGAAGGAAGTCAAGAGTCCATGGCCGGCCGGGAGTGGATTGGATGACGCTGCGGAGGCTTGTGGGGGAGACGGCTATCACGTGCCAGACTCATCGCCAGGTCGCGGCCCCTCCTCGGTGGATATTTACTTGAGAAGGACTGCATTGGAATCTACATAATCTGAATGTTACAGGGCATCCTGAACATCACCAGCCAATATCAAGTAACCCCGCCAATGGCTACTAGCCTCCAGTCGGTGGTCAGGTTCTATGATAAAATATAGCGTTAATACAGACAGTAAAGAATAGAAAATCAAGCAAACCCCTCTCGCTATGCGATCAAATCAAGCCAAGGCAACAACAACAACAACAACAACAACAACAACAGGTCATATCAGGCACTACCCCACCATCGTCATGGAATATGCAAAGGTGCACTATATAGAGTTGGTTCACAGCAGCTTTCCCTGTGAGTATAGTGGAATATGAAACAGAAACCCTCATATCCTTTTCTTTCGCTGTGCTATTTGCCACATATCGCGGTTCCAAAGATAGGAGCTAACACCAGTGTACAAAGCTGCAAAAAGGCGCCCGATACGACAGAAGCAGGGGTATAGAAATGCTCGTCAACTATTCGACCGTAGCAAGGGAAGAAGAGCCTGTTCATTCACAATCACCACATATCGTCTTCGTCATCATCCAATTGCATATCATCTCCAAAGGTTGAATGACCATATTGACTATGGCCAGGGCCGTATGCATTCCCATTGTCGTAGCCATCTTTGCTCCCACGCGACTGGGATCGGTACTGGTCTTGATGCTCGTCACTATATTCATACATCTGAGGATCATCGTAGGAATTGTCGGTGTACTGTTGCTCCTGGGCCTGCAGGTAGAAGGAAACGTCAGCAGATGTTTGTCAAGGCCTTGGTAGCAAGAACTTACCTCTTGATACCGCTGGTACTGTTGGTACTCTTCCTGTTGTCGCTGCTGCTGTCTCTGAGCCGCTGACGTTGCGAGCATCATGTGCGGGTGCATCTGTTGCACCTTGGCCAAGTACGAGTACATGAAGTTACTCAACAAGACCTGCGAGTACAGCGCGCGTCGAGGATTCGCAAGCTTGATATGCGCCATCCGGTAGATTGCTCGTTCTTCCAGGATAGAGAACCGAGTCCAAGCGTAATCAATATCTGGCCGCAACTCTCGAACTGGCGGCTCAGGGGACAAGTTACGAGAGGAGCTCTTCTTGTGATGATGCCCGCTATCGCCATTGCTCTTCTTCCTACTACCACCAAAGATGGATGAGAATAGCCCCGATTCCTTCTCTTTCTTCGATTCGCCGGAAGCTCTCCGTGTGTTATCTTTGCGCCTTTCATCCTCTAATTTGGGGTCCAGCCGGTCCATAACAAGGCTTTCGCGTCCCCGCTGGATAGTCTCGCTCGACAAGGGTGGGGTGTGAGATGCATCGTGTGCTTTGTCCGCAGACTTCGATTTGTGCTTCTTCGAATCGCTGTCCTTGTCCTTCTTCTTATCCTTGTCCTTGTCCTTCTCCTCGTTACCCAAAAGCCAGTGCCAGCTCGATTTACGTCCTCCTTCAGACTCCTTTTTGTCCTTTGATTTCTTCGATTCGGATTTTCTTTCTTCGGGCTTGCGTTCCTCTGACTTGCGATCTTCCGACACGGTGGGAATAAATGACAGACTGTCGGTTCGCATAGTATTACCGGGCAAGGGCTGCGGGTTATTGGCGAACTCGTTAAGAGTGGGGGCGGCATCCGTTGCATGTGTGCGACTGAGTCCGGAACGTTTGTTAGGGGGACGCTCGTGCGATCGATCTGCTGCCGAAGGGCTCTTTGAGGGCGGGGTTTGCTGCTGAGAACTTGGGCTCGGGGGTGTGGCATTGCTTTCGGGCGGCGGGGTCTCAACTATTTCGGGAATTCTCTGTTCGGAGGATGGAATGTTCAATGTCGAGCGTCCATTCGAGCTGATCCGCGAATGCCATTGTTGACGTTCAGGTGGAGGGGCGCTTGCCCGATCTGATGGATCGGGAAGAACGGAGTCACTTACTGAAGGTGTTGGTTCGGAAGCCGAATCCGACGTGAAACTGGATGTTGTGTCAGGGGTATGCGGGGTTGCTTGAGTAGACTTGGCCAAGGCTTGCGACCGTGTCACACTCGGCGTGGGATCAGTAGATACCCGTGTCAGACCTATAGCTGCTTGTCCGCCTGTAGGGTCGTTCCCGTCCGCCGATTTCCCTGCCCGTTTGGAGTATGGGGCTTTCTCTCCCTTTCGTAGGCTTCCAGCCTTGCGATATTGGGTTCTTGTTGAGCGTCGAAGACTGTGACCTGGAGGGGCTGGAGGAAGTATCGGTCTATCTTCGTCGGCTGATAACCCAAGCTTTTGGATATCGCTGAGGATTGACGAAGCGCTCGGCGTGCGCGACTTCGAGTCATCTACCAAGCTTTCCAGTTCATGCAGGTTGGGACCCAACGAGTCCTTTTGTGTCTGTGAGCGTTTTCGCTCGAGCCGCTCCGCACCATCCGTATAGCCATGAGAGCTGTCGATCTGCCTTGAGAGCATGGACCGCTTCCGTCTCAGTCCTCCTCGCATGCCTTCGCCATCCGAGCCTAGAGTCGAGAAATCCCCGGACTTCCGTTTGATCATATCTGCCTTGCTCTCGAGGAATGATTTGAACTCCTTGGGTGCCAACTCCGGGTGTAACCGGGCGGGGACCCAGAAAAGGCGGGCAGCATCGTTCTCATCGTCGGAGGGAGAGGGCGCGATCGACGGCACTGAAAAACTCGGCAGGTCGGGATCCCCGGTGGCTGCCACGTCCATTGACATCCGCCGGATTGCAGCCAAGTTGCTCAGCTCTTGTGCCACGGCGGCTGGATTGGACTCGTAATCGATATCGTTGAGAGGAAACGAGGTAGTAGCGGTGTCGGTGGAGCCGGGAGAGGCGGTCGAGGCGGGAGACGTCGGGCTGCTCTCCACAGACTTGGAACCTTGCGCCCATGTTTGCCCATTCACTTGCCGTTGGTTTACTTCACTCGGATGGTTTTTCACTTGTAGATTTTGGGGCGAGGTAGGAGATTCGCAGCCGGCCAGATTTGGAGGGATGATTGTGATCGCTTCACTTAAGGGGGAGGAGATATAGCTGAGGCGCCGAGAATCGCGTTTGTCGTAATCATCTTCGTACATGTGCCCGATGGCTTCCGTTACATGGTGACTTGGGTCGCTAATTGACAGTTGGGGAACATGCCCTCGCCGCGTCGCGTATCCTCCTCCAGGTTCAGAGGGGCTCGGTGAAGCCTACGCGTAAAGGGGAGGTTGTTAGACGCAATCCCGCAGTCGTAAATAGTTGAAACAGGGGGTTTATTGAGGACCCCACAACCCACGGGGCAAAGGGCATTGGTACCAGCAACGCACACGAGTGCAAAGCTGTAGAAGGACAGGGAACCGAAAGGCAGAAACAGAGAATGCTCATAGCCAGTCTTGAACGGGGCGATTTACAGGGACCAGGGACGGAGAGAAAGACAAGGAAGAGAACGTGACGCACCTGCATGGGAGCAAATAATTTGAGGGGAGGGAGGGAGCTAAAAGGCAAGCGTCCCGAGGTTGACAAAGGACCAGGAACTTCGCCTGGTGGAGAGGAGGTCAATGTACCACCAGGGTCGCAAAAGTAGACAAGTAGAGGATAGTCATGGAATCATCAGAGCGGGGGAACGTATTGTCGACGAAGAGGAGCAACCACCAGGGTGACCAGGAGTGAGAAATGACGATGGCGGCTAGGCATCCGGCGGCCAACGGCGGCCAACGGCGGGAGAGAGAGGGAGAGGAGAGGATGGTAACGAGCAGTCGGTTTTGAAGGTGGAGAGAGAGGAGGGAGGGGGAGGGGTGAAGAGAAAAAGAGGGATTGAAGAGGAGAAAGAGGAGGAGGAGGAGGAGGAGGGCCAGCGAACGAGGCTGAGGAGGGAGAGAGTGGCCGTGGTTGCTGTTTGGTTGGTGGTGAGGAAAAAGGATAATAGGGAAAGGATGAGAGAAAAGATGGGGAAATTCACAACCTTGTAGTTTAGTTGCTCGTAGTTAGGTAGGTAGTAAGTAGGTAGTAAGTAAAAAGGCTGGAGAGTCCCAAGGTAGGTAGGTACTAGGTAAGTATTGTACCCACCACTGCTTGCCTGTCTGCCTGCACAGCACCACTTGTACTGAGTATTAATATTGTACTGGCAGTACTACCGGTAGGAACAGTACTAAGAAAGAGCCTGTACCAGTAATCATGCCCAGTGAGTGGTGGTCCCTGCGAGAAGTGGTTGGTTTGATCTGGTTGGTTGCTGGTTCGGTGGTCGGTCTGGCCGCGATGATCGGAGTCGACAGAACAAAAATAGATGAAGATTCCAGCAACTAATATTGTTTCGCGACACAGGTGAGGGTGTCCTTGGCTCTTCTAAGATAGAGCAGTAATTTAAATGTATAAAAGAAGGAAGAAAGGTGGGAAAATCAGGGGAGAACACACTCCTGAGTGGGGTGGACGGACTGTATCAGAGAAAGACCCATATGCTGTCTGTCCATTTACAACCGCAGTCGAATCTGGAAGATTCGTCCTGTCTGGTTCCCGTTTGGATGGGCGGATTTGTTTGGTCGAGGTAGGTAGGTACGGAGTAGTACCTAATATCTCAGGCACACCGTTGAGTTCTGTCAGGTACAGTCCCCACGAGGAATGGGGAAACAAAAAAAAAAGACAGAGTTTCCCACAGTACCCCGCTGATGCGTAGTAGAAGTAGTCTAGCTTGGAAGTATATGGATGTTAGGATGATGGGATAAATAGGTACTAACTACCTCCTAATCAACTAACTGATTGGATTCCGCGCAGGCCGAACTACCGGCTGACTCAGCCCGCCCGCCCTCTCCACAGCTGATCCATGATCGATCCATCCATCCACTGCAGTATGGAGTAACTTATCAACTGGCAGGTCACCTCCCCTCCGTTCGTTCGTTCGTTCGCGCGCTTGCTTGCAGTAGGCGATCAATGATCAACATCACCCCCGTGCTGCTGGTGGGTTTGGATTGACAAGTGGCACGGTCTTTCCCCATGGTCAAAAATGCTTCCCCTCACTTACTTCACTTGGTGTTTGTACAGTACAATTACCTTCGCATTAGACAAAGAACCTGTGGCTTAAGATATAGATTGAATACATTATAACCTACCTAAAAACATGGGATTTCCCTGCTTGACCCGTTCCCATCCTTCTGGAATCTGTTCGTTGAAGCCCTGCGGCCCATGATGCAGCAGCAGCATGAGGGCTTCAAGGGATGTCTTTTGCTTTATTCCCTCCTTTCTATATTCACTTACGCTAACTAGGGATTTCCTCCCCTGCCTTGCCTACAGTATGAGGTACCCACGCAACCCTCAGCTGTCAGCGTTTCGCTCGAGCTCTATGTGTATCATTTGATTCACAATGGGACTGTCATCGGAGCATGCAAAAAGTCACTGTAAGGCCTTCCCTGGCCTCGTGAATCAGGCTTTGACACCAGCTCGAGCTGTCCTGTGGATGAGTCACGCTGCTAGTGTTCAGCTCAAAGGTTCTGTACAGGACGTTCTTACTACAGGATGTCTCGTATCGTTGAGCCTCGCCAGGGAGGAGAAAAGGAAACGACCCACACCCACTTCCGCTAGTAATCCGTAGGTGGTAGCCAAGAAAAGGATGGAGAGAAGAATGAAAGCTAATGAGATTGAAGTGGCAGCACGAGAAGGATTAAGGACCTGACAGGAATGTTTATCGACTTTCCATCCCACTGTTATGCCTGACATGTGAGGATTGTGGTCGATCCGGTGCGCTCAGCCCATGATTGTAAGTGCTCAGGCGGAGGGCCCCAGATGACCTCGCTTACTCAAGGATGCAATACCACAGGGAGGATATTTGGTCTCAAACTCTTCGAAGAATGTACATTCATTATTACCTCCAAACATACGGGGTATGGACGGACAGACAGAGAGGGACATGCCTATGAAACTTACACCTGAGAAACGACTGGTGACGACAGCAAGCCAGCCACTTTCTGGCGACATCCAGCCATCACGCCAGAGTCTTTGTGTTCAATGCCAGGCGCCCTTGCAAGGGGGGTTGATTTGTGTCAGTTGAGCGGCAGCTAACCCCAATACAATGGGGGACTGAGACCTCTCCAATCATTCCATCTCAACTCGGTGAACGATAATTGAAGTCATTCAGTCATTCTAACACTGCCAAGTCTGCCGGCTAATACCATACTGAAAGAGAACATCTTATGTATAAATTGGAAGCAGTACCTAAGCACAATCACGAACACACGCACCCGAAGGACAGCCCAGTCGGAACCACAACCCACAAATGTGAATACCTGGCTCATCCCCTATTCGTGCAAGCAAAACCTGCGCTCACTGGTCAACTCAATTTGAACTCCGGTGCTGATACGAAATGCCAAAAGCGGACCCTTGGAATTGCAGAGCTGACATATTTGCAAGAGAGAAAAATCGCCAATGCGAAACTGAAAGGTCAAAGAGGACGAGTATTCTGGAAGGCATTGAGGGAAAGACAGAAACAGGGATGTCATAAAAATGTCATTTCGCATAAACTAAAACAGGGGAATCAAGGTTTTAAGCAGGGTCAACATAATTACTACGCATGGCAGGTTAGTATCCGGCGCAGGATTTCAAGTCTGACGGACGGTGATGCTTACCTGGGAAAGATTCCAACTCGGTCTCCAATTCGCCCCGTCCACCAGTCCTCTGCCTTGTCAGTCCGCTTGAGGATGGTGATGATATCGCCTTTCTTGAAACCCAGGTCGCCTTCTTGATCAGCATCGAATGTGTACAGCGCAACTGCCTGGTCCTGACGGAGTGTAGGGGCAGCCCCTGTCCTCTGCCCAAAAATCGGCTTCGGGGCTGTTGGACGGCTGGGTTTGCGGTCGGAATACACATAGTCTTCATCAATAGGGGCGGTGTTGCTACGGCTGCGGTTGAAAGACTCGTAGGTATCCGGGCGGCTGCTGTTGCGAGTCGTTGATGACCGATTCAGACCTCCCGCGGGTCGGTCATAGATATCATCGGCCCACGTGTTCGCACGACGAGGACGATCTCGGTACTCATAGTCGTCGTTGCCGTTCACTCCAGTCCGGTCACGCCGAAGACCTTCTCCATAGGCATCGCCTCGTCGACCCTCCCATACCACATCATCATGGCTATCATCATAGACAGGAATATCGTTATACATAGTATCTCCTTGTCTCGAGTTGCCATAGAAAGCGCGCGAGTTCAAGATACGTAGAAGAGGATCAGCGGCAGGAGGAGGCCGAATGGTTCCGCTCAGTAGCTGGCGGGCCGACACTCGACTGTTGTACATCTTCTCGTTCGCATCCTTGCGCTCCACCAACATACTTCCCTCCAGACTCACGCCGGCAAAGAGACCCTTGGTCTTGGAGTATGAGAACACCGCCGCGACACCCTTCGTACTTGCAGCGCCTGCGGCCTCGGCGTTGCGTCCGATCGGTCCAGCGGCAATCGAAACGTTACCACCCAGTGTCAAGGTTCCCGCTTGAGAAAACGTGCGCACAGCAGCCGCATCATTCAAGATAAAAACGAAGTCGGTCAACTCAAACCCTATCTGGCCCCCGAATCCGGCACCTGCTGTCGCAATGGCCGACGGAGCCGACCAAGAGCCATCTGCGAGGCGGGCTACAACAACCCCCGAACCGAAGCGAGCGGAGCCCAGGAAGCCGGCTTTCAGGACAGTAAGAATGGCGAGACCCTGGCGACAGAGCGGTCAGCCTAAGACGAAAACGCCACGGAATGGGCATGACAAAGAAAGGCTCCTTTGCCCACTTACTTTAGCGCCTGCTAGAATTTCGGGAGGAATGACCTTATCAGGTCCAAATGCTTGTCGGGGATCCACGAAGGACGTAAGAATTTTCCCAACCTTTTTGCATTCGCCTGTTGTCCGCGGGTTAGTTCACGCTCAATAGCCTCGCAAGTGATTGCGGGGAAGTTGGAAAGCGGGCGGAGTAATGCATACTTGACAGAGATGAAGGGAGCGGATTGTGAATTCCGAGAGGCATCTTGAAAACCACTCCGGACCTGAGAAACCCGTAAAGAAGGGGAGGAGAGAGTGAGAAGAGGAAGTAAGGAAGGAGGGGGTGGGATGAAAGAGAGAGAGAGTTAAGAGTCAGGGAGCAGTTAAGAAGAGAAAGGTGTTGATAACCGTAGGTTGCTTTGGTCTTGAGGGAGCGACCGGAAGTGGAACCCAAATGACGGGCTGACATCCACTCGCTTTCGCAAACGATCTATGCTTCTCCTGCCAACTCAAGCTGACCAAAAGCAACCGCGGCACCATGCACTTAGTGCAGCACGCTGGAATGTTGATATCGCTGGCCGTGTACTCTGTGAAAAAGTCGCTGAGTGAGCATTGACCTGTCTGGCTCAAAGACAAACCCCGGAGGGTGTGCTCAGGCCCGCGATATCGAGCCCAAAGAGTATGCGCTTTTCGTTTTTGTCTCCATTACGTCCTGTGGCTGCGGTTGCTGCGGTCGGCTTCCTTCACATCCGGCTGCCGTAACTCATGCAATTGATTCTTTCAGACAAATGGAAGTCGCTAGGGAGACCTCGACCTTATAGCCCAGTAGGCCGATATGATGCGATCATCTTTTCGCTTCCACATTGTGTGCGCATTAGGTGTTGCACCGATTTGTACGGCACAGTAATATTGCACAGCCATGCAATCCCTCCGATCGAGACCTGAGGCTGCGAGAACGGCACAGCCACCGCCGAGGTTCCGCTGATCATCTCCGTCACCGATCGGAACCTGAAAGCACCCTTCTTCAAGCAAGACAAACTCTTGGTTTTCATGTCGGCAACATCAGGAAGGCATGACTCAATGATCAGAGGAGGGTGATAGCAGCTGCATTCCTAACCCATTTCACGATGGCTACAGGTTCGACAAGCCAACCGCAATTGACCCTGATCTACGGTTGCTGACAGCACTCCAGTGCGAATCTGCGTCTGTGGAGACGAAGGCACTGGCAAGTCCAGCTTGATCACTTCTCTTGTCAAAGGTGTCTTTGTTACAAACAAGATTCAGCCCGTCCTACCCCAGATTACAATACCTCCGACCATCGGTACCCCCGAAAATGTCACAACGACAACAGTAGTGGACACCTCCGCGCTTCCGCAAGAGCGGAACAACTTGGCAAGGGAAATCAGAAAATCCAATGTGATCCTACTTGTGTACTCGGATCATTACAGTTACGAAAGAGTCGCTCTGTTCTGGCTGCCGTATTTCCGCTCCTTGGGGGTCAATGTACCGGTAGTTCTTTGCGCGAACAAGTCCGACCTGGCTGCGGACCACGCGGAGACACAAGTCATTGAGGAGGAGATGCTCCCGCTAATGGCAGAGTTCAAGGAGATCGATTCATGTATACGCACCAGTGCCCGCGAGCATCGAAATGTCAACGAGGCTTTCTTTCTCTGTCAAAAAGCCGTCACGCATCCCATCGCACCGCTCTTCGATTCGAAGGAGTCTGCTCTGAAGCCCGCTGCTGTCGCCGCGCTACAACGCATATTCTATCTGAGTGATAAAGATCGGGATGGATATCTTAGTGACAAGGAAATGGAGGACTTTCAGATGCGCTGTTTCGAGAAGCCTCTGAGCGAAGAAGATCTTGTTCACATCAAGGAAACCATCCAAAGGGCACATCCTCACTCGGTCACTCCCTCAGGCATTGACTGCCGCGGGTTCCTTCATCTCAACAAGATGTATGCTGAGAAAGGTCGTCACGAAACAGTCTGGATCATTCTACGGGCTTTTCAGTACACGGATAACTTGTCCCTTCAAGAAAACTTCCTCCATCCGAGATTTGAAGTTCCCCCTTACGCATCAGCCGAGCTGTCGCCAGAGGGCTATCGTTTCTTTGTTAATCTTTTTCTTCTCTCCGACAAGGATAATGATGGTGGATTGAATGACGCCGAGTTGGCGTCGCTATTTGCGCCGACACCAGGGTTGCCTGTCTCTTGGGCGGATGGCTCATTCCCATCTTCCACCGTTCGGAACGAGGCCGGTCACGTCACCCTTCAGGGCTGGCTGGCACAATGGAGTATGACAACTTTCACATCGCCCAAGACCACGCTCGAGTACTTGGCCTACTTGGGATTCGAGTCATCCGACCGCAGCAACCCTTCGACAACGGCGGCGCTTAAAGTCACGCGGCCACGAAAGCGAAGGAGACGGCCCGGACGCGTGGGGCGCAACGTCGTTCTTGGCCACGTGCTTGGAGCTCCGGGATCCGGCAAATCGGCTCTGTTGGATGCGTTCCTCTCGAGAGGATTTAGCGCCACATATCACCCCACCATTCAGCCACGAACTGCTGTGAATACAGTCGAGCTCCCTGGAGGGAAGCAATGTTATTTGATCCTGGACGAACTTGGAGAGCTCGAGCCTGCAATCCTGGAGAATCAGGTCAAGCTCCTCGACCAGTGCGATGTCATTGTTTACACGTACGACTCTTCTGACCCCGATTCGTTTGCGTATATTCCAGCTCTGCGGGCCAAGTATCCGCACTTGGAAGAGCTTGCGGGTGTGTTTGTTGCGCTTAAAGCGGACCTGGACCGAACCACCCAACGGGCGGAGCATCAACCTCATGAATACACGGCCATGCTGAACATGCCCAGTCCACCACTTCATGTCAGTGCTACGTGGAGTTCAATCCAAGAAGTGTTTGTTCACATTGCCGAGGCGGCTATGGAGCCTAGCACGGCCTTCCCACGGAGTGAGGAAGATGTCGAGGGCAAGTGGATGTCGTGGGGAATCGCACTGGGGGCGGTTGTCTGCGCGGGGGCAGCAGCGGTGATGATCTGGCGGAGAGTCAGTGGTAGTGGGGTCTGAGCCCTCAGGGCGCTTCTGGTTCCTCAACACTATGTAGTTACCGATTGTTGTAAACCTAGAAACTAGATACCTTTGACAATTTTGCCTACCTGCATTGCCAGAAAGCATCCATAGAAAGTAAGGTAGGCAGGTACAGTAAGTACAATGGGCCCAAGAGCACCATTGATGGTGAACCCCGCCGTGAGTACCTGTTACGTAGTCCAGTATGCTACTAGGTAAAGTTGCCGGCCGGCCCCACGCGTGAACTTGCCTCTAACCGTCTACACAGTACGAGTAATTGGTCTAATACTGTTAGTTCAACTAACGTAAACTAACCCCGGAATAACCATGACCACCGGTTGGCTGCCCGTCAGCTCCAGCCTCCCACTCAGGTCCCGGCCATCCGTCTGTCGTCTGTCGTCTGCCCACAGGCTTCCTTCCAAGTGACTTCCAAAGTGACTCTGGCTTCATTCCGACCTCTCCTTTCCCAAGACACAAACTCTGCCGATTCGTGCCCGGAAACCCCCCCCCCCCCCCCTGTCTCCTCTTGATCTCCGCCTACGTACTTAAATTACCCAAGGACGGCCGCGGATTGTCCCAGTGTTTCGACCAACTTTCCTCCTCGGCCCAGCTACCTCTCTCTGCCACCGATTGTCGCTTCTCTCCCCCACCAGGACCTGCAATACTGGCTAAGCGCAAAACTTGCCCTGGCAATATCCTCTTTATATAAACAATATCAGTATAAAGAGCCGCCCTGAGTGGCACCCGTTGCTGGTGCTGCTCTTGGGGAACTTATATTCAGCGTTGCCTGGCTAGCCCGCCTATTGCTAGATTCACTAAATTCGTGATATCACGCCCTCATCATATCATACCAACCCCGGAGGATCCTTGTATTCACCATCGATTGGTTCCCGTGGAGGCCCTGTCGCAACCGCAGCCATGTTGTAAGACACACCACCCCGACCGCACCCTGGTTATCCGTTTGGTTTCCCTTATCTCCGCGCTCTGTGCCGCAGCATCATAGGCCCGGCGCCAGAGTCCCTGGAGAATTTCCAAAGACAGACCCGTTTCCCTCAGCCTTTGACGAAATGTGACGGCTTTTTTATGTGGCTTCCCTTCTGACTGATATCACTCAATTCAGCGTCCTTCCCCCTCCCCCACCTCGCTACACCGTCCCTGTCGCCTATGCAGCTGGTGCATCAAACGGCATGGCGGTGCCTGTGGTAGAAACAAACAACATCATCAGCCATCCCGAAGGCGGTTGTTCTTTGCAGGTTGGAGAAGGTGTGTTTGCTCTATCGCACCCACAAAAGACATGTGATCGAGAGTCCACTGACACAAATTCCTGCGATAGGCACCTATCACCTCAAAGATAACCTCCACCTCGCAACGCCGCCGCCCCATCCCTCGGAAGCGCCTGTTGTGAACCCGAACCCGCTCGCGACTGGCGTGACCCCGCCAACCTCGGGCGTGAAACTCTCTTTAGTCCAAGTCAGCAACCAAAGCAAGGCCCCTACATACTCTTTGAACGGAAATGCCACAGCACCAATGTTCGGCGATGGAAACCCCGCGCTGGCCGCGCCGGTGGTCAAAGAAGGCCTCAAGAGGAGGAAACCGAAGAACAACATTGTGAAGAGCAGCTCGTCGTTCGTATCACGGGTAATTACCCATGAAGCGCTGACGAAACGCCTGAACGATCGCAACCCAGACGGCTTTTTCGCATTCGCCAACATCAACCGCGCATTCCAGTGGTTGGATCTCAGTTCGAAGCAGAAAGAAGAGCCGCTGGCGAAAATTCTCTTCACAAAAGCGCACATTCTGAGCCACGATATCAACGAATTGACGAAGAGCTCATCGCACATCGATATCCTCATGGGTTCATCGGCCGGGGACATAATATGGTACGAGCCGATCTCACAGAAATACGCGCGCATCAACAAGAACGGGGTTGTAGCCAATTCTGCCGTAACTCATATCAAGTGGATTCCAGGATCGGAGAATCTCTTCATGGCCGCCCACGCCAACGGCCAGTTGGTAGTTTATGATAAGGAGAAGGAGGATGCACTTTTCACACCCGAACTCAGCAGCCCTTCGGCTGAGATGCTGAAATCTTCGGGCCGGCAGCCATTGCAGGTCCTCAAGTCGGTCAACTCCAGGAATCAGAAGACGAATCCGGTCTCCTTGTGGAAAGTCGCCAATCAGAAGATCTCCCAGTTTGCGTTCTCTCCGGACCGCAGACACCTGGCCATTGTTCTGGAGGACGGGTCTTTGCGGGTGATGGACTACTTGAGAGAAGAGTATGCAGGCTATCCTTGGTGCTGCCACTGTTGATATACAGACCGCTGACCGCTGCTAGGGTTCTTGACATTTTTCGCAGTTATTATGGCGGTCTAATATGTGTTTGCTGGTCGCCGGACGGCAAATACATCGTGACCGGCGGCCAAGATGATCTGGTTACGATCTGGTCCCTACCAGAACGAAAGATCGTAGCTCGATGCCAAGGCCACAGCTCCTGGGTTTCTGCGGTAGCATTCGATCCCTGGCGCTGCGATGAGAGAAACTATCGGTTCGGCAGTGTTGGTGATGATTGCCGGTTGTTACTATGGGACTTCAGCGTGGGCATGCTCCACCGTCCCCGAGTGGTAGGTTTTCATTCCGCACCGCCAGATGAACACCATCAATCAAGCTTGCTCCATAAACTTACACTCCTCCAGCACCAAGCGAACGCGCGCCAGCGGACAAGCATGGTCGTGACCAACACGCAACTTAACAACCGTCATCGCGCCGATAGTGCCGGCAACCGAGTCCGGTCCGACTCGCAACAGACCGCCGATACCTACAGCAGCTATGATCCCACCGTTCGCCATCCCGTCGAGCCCAGGGCGCGGACGGCTCTGTTGCCACCGATCATGGTGAGCTTTCTTTCCCCCTCCCCCAACTTCCCAGACTGGCAGCTAAGAATGAACGTTGCAGTCCAAGATCGTCGGAGAAGACCCGATCTGCTGGCTTGGGTTCCAAGAAAACTCCATCATGACCTCCTCTCTTGAAGGTAATCCCCCACTTTTCCCCAACCCTCTCCGCAAACAGGATATACCCCTCATCAAGATCGCGCATTAACCCCCAACCCGCCGCAGGTCACATTCGCACCTGGGACCGTCCCCGCGAAGGCATCAACGATAACTATTACGACCACACCTCATCCCCAGCTTTCAGCGCCAGTGCAGCGGCGTCGGGATCCGGTTCCGCACTAGGAGACTCCGTGATGGGGTCTCTTTGAGCGGAGCAGCGTGAGAAAGAGAAACCAAAAGCAGATGGAGGCCATGCTCGCTCCCAATCCTCTCCTTGATCCTTGTAAATATCTGTATGATTTGCTTTCTTTCTTCATGAGATCTATACCCAAATGAAACCGCTAATTTCCAGTCATGTTGGATATCTGTAATCCTTGTTCTTTCCTAATTGAAGGGGTGTGCTATTGGATTGGTTGCACTTAGCTGAAGAAGCAGAAAGCGGCAGTTCAGGTCAAGTCTGTTGAAGCTCATTTCCCCCCTTTGCTTTAGGCCATTATCCATGTCGCGGAAAACGCATCTCTGGCCTGGTCGAGATACCCTATATCCTAGAGATAACTTGCAGCAAAAGATTGGTTAAGTGTGGTAGGGAGAAAAGCACACTGATTCCGAACGGAGAGAGGAGCTTGGAACTATACTACGGTGGTGACCTATCACTGTATCGGCAGGGGGTGTAGGCTGATGATTAGATAAAGTATCGACTATCAACCTCACCAAAAAGACCCATCAACGGTAAGATTGTAGGCAGAGAGTCACAAACATCTTCATACATTGAAATGAAAGGCGGAAAAAGGATGACAGGGGGTTGTGCTTTCGTCAGTCAATTAACAGGTGGGATGAATGGATGGGATAAATGGATAATGTATCGTGTTGCGTCACTCGTGTAGGTAGGAGGGGGAAGGGGGAGGGAAGGGGTGATGGCAAAGGATCAAAGGGCATGAAATCAGAGAGGGGAATTCTGGAGGAAAAAAATTCGGAATGGGTAGTATGATGAGAGTATGCAGTTGCAGGTGAAGGAAGAGTAAAGCAAAGTGCTGGTATGTTTTGAGGGAAAGGGGATGTGATGTAACTAATTCGAAGGCAAAAGCTGGCAAGGTAAGCAAAGCAAAGCAAAGCAATTTGTGTGTACCACTCATAGTGTGATTGGCGATGATATGAGTGCGTATATACAACCCTTACCCTGGATTAGAATCTAAATATAGAGTGGGAGAGGACTGGGTAGGTAGGTAGGTGGGACAGACGCCCGGGCTGAGCGGTGGGAGGTCGTTGCTCGGAGGCGAAACGGTTCGGTGCAGTGACAGCGGGATTGCATGACGAAAGTCGCGACGTCAATTGTGGATCGTGTCACTGTACCTTGGTTGGACTGGGGTCGTTTACAACGCTCCGGCGAAGATGCTCATCACGAGGGCGCTGAGCACGGCGAGGGGACCGCTCAGGGTCATTGCGCTTGCGGCAGCTCCGGCGGAGGCAGTGGCGGAGGCAGCGGTCTTGGTGGCAGTAGTGGCAGATGCTGTGGCTGTTGTGGAGGTAACAAACAGATTGAACCCAGGTTAGATAACTTCATTCATCTCATATCCTGTCTGTACTCACCCGGTCTCACGGAGGCGGAGGGAATGGTGCTAGATGATGGTGAAGATGGTGAAGATGGTGAAGAGGTCTTGTGATAGATGCAGGGGCGTGACTTGTATCTAGTGCTGGTGTAGGTGCTGGATGATAGTGGTGCATGTGCATGTGCTGATGATGATAGTGGTGATGATGGTGTAGGTGTAGGTGTAGGTGTAGGTGATGTAGGTGCAGATTGTGATGTGTGTGATGATGATGATGATAGTGTTGAATTAGAAGTATCCTTACCCGTCTCAACTTTGCCAACCTTGGTCACGTTGAATTGATTCGACTGGCTCAGGATGCCAGTGTTCTGGGTGGTGTTGGCAATAGCATTCAGTTGGTAGCCATTACTATCATCGACCTGATCAGTCTTGCTGCAGTTCCACCTCGAGTCAAGGATACAACATACGCAACAGGAATCCCGGTGATCATGTCCACAGTATAGGAGCCATCCGAGACCTTGGCATTCTGGGTGATGACCTTGTTGACTGTAGGCTGGGAGGCCATGTTGACCAGGACCAAAGTGACCTCGTCCGGATCAGAACTGCGCAGCCTGTCAGGTTTATGCATGACGGGTCAATCTGGGGAAGGAAAACGCACGAAACCGTTGTCCATTGGAACTTGTACGACTTGCTGAAGTCAACCTGGTCCCCAGCCTTGGGCGCGGTGATCGTGAGAGCTGGATGAGTCCGGTCAGTTTAGGGCCAGTAGAGATCGAAAATCGGGAACCCTACCCAGAGCCGAAGCAGCAAAGGCGACGATGGCAAGAAGGAGGCTCAAGGAACGCATGGTGAAGGTGGTCAGGAGATATTAGAGCTAGAGATGAAGAGGGGAAACTGCACAGCAGACAATAAAAGAATTGAAATTGGGGGGAAGCTATACACTGGCTTGGAAAGATGGATGGCAGTGTTCTGGTCTGGGACACGACAGCTTTATAACTTCTTCTACACCACCCACACCACACCGCAACATCTAACGGTACAATTACCTTTCTATCCTCTCCACCCCTCCCACTATCCTGTCATCGTCCTTGTTTCTCCGTTCCCCTACCGGATTGACCGATCGGAAAGAAAAGATCAAGAAAACAGCACGAAGGAAAGAAGGAAGGACGCGGAAGGGTAGAGGGAAAAGTCAACGCCCTGTCTATTTTGGGGGGATGTGGTTGTTGTTCACTTCCCGTTGTGCGCCCATGCGAGGGGGGGCTTCCTGCAGGTGACTGGTCCGATTCCCTTCATCAAACCTATTTTCCCATGGAGACGCGTTCAATTGCTGATTCTCGTGACCGTGGGCAGTGCCTACACAAGGGTTTCGAGAGGAGGTTGACAGGAGGTTGATAGGAGATTTCCGACCTGCTTGCTATCAGTCGAGCCAGGGAGTATCCCCTCCCTCTCCCTCTCTCTCCCCTCTCCTCGTGTGCACAGGGCACGCCTCTCCTCCCTTCGAGGGGAATGACGTTTCATCGCTCGCCAGTGTGATGGTCTCAGAAGCTCTTTCTTTCTTCCAGAGACAGCCGCCGTACGTGTCGCGTTCCAATGATGAAATCCGGATCTGGACTAAGGTTTCCCTCTTCCACTAGCCTCCTCAACCTACAGCAGCTGATGCATACATAGCGGCAACAGATGCATAATCTTAAAAGAACAACACTTTGAGTGCTTCCGATCGGTGCGATACCTCTTTCATTCAAGGCTCTTGTGATAGTGCACCCATTTCCTGCCAAGCCACTACTCGACCTAGAGAACCCTGTTGAACAATAATTGATTTATCTGAAGGAGGAAGACCTTCATGTCACAAGGACCTTTTGGGCCCCCTCAATTGAATTCAGGACAATTGAGTTACGCAGCACCATAATGTTTCGTGAGCGTCAGACACTCTAGGCAGTGACTTTGCACTCCTAAGTGCCCAGTGGACAGTCACCAAGCATTACGCATCAGATCATGCACTGCTGACCTGACAAGTCATATTGGATCCGAGTTTTAAGCATTGATGCGAGTACGCGAAAAAAAAAATCTTCCAATTAGTCTTCACCTGGGCGGATCATTGATCCCCAATTGCACGGAGCTTGACTTTGGGAACTAGCAGCAGACTCTGACCATCGACAAATTTATTGAACAGATTGTTCCCTAGAGTAACGCGGAACTTTAGTGCCGACTGATCCAGAGTACATCCTCCGTCGCAAGCACACGGGAAACCGTTCCGGAGTAAATAGTCCTGAAGGTTGCCAATGCTTGGATCCTGGGACGGTGCCTGGAAGTCAATTCGAGTCAGTGATGCCAGGACGGTACCAGGCAGAGCACATAATTGCTCCCAGTTTTTAAGATCATGACAAATGTGTCGCACATCGTCATCAGACATTGTTCTCACTCTTGATATGCAATCACAAGAAGCACACCTGATTGGCGGTATAGTGGATGCCCGCATCAACGGTTCCGTCACCGAACGGCATCGGAGCCAACGTATCTTTCAAACATGACCGATGACTCCCTGTGACACGGAATTTCTAGCCAGCTACCGACGTCTCAGCGACAGGGAACGAGGTCAGCCTAGCGATCGTCATCTAGTGCGATCTCTGACCCAATGCTTCATCCGCATGTGCTTATCGGATATGCATGTAGAATAAGAACAGAGGGTCTTTATCCCCGAGTCACCTCCTTAGACCCGCTCAAACATCCAGTTGTCCCGATAATAACCTGTATTGGTCAGGTATACTTGCTTTGAACGAAGGCTTACGCAAGCTGAAGGACGTAAGTCAATCATTGCAACTCGTGGAGCTGATTTTCCAACGTGTGCCGAAGAGAACTCGCAGCCAGATCTTACCTAAACTCCGGCAACATATTCATCTGCATTACTATTTTTGTACTCGGGGTCTATGTTCATGTTCCAGTGTCATTGTACAGTTTATGTATGTCTTGCTTGCTTCTATATACAGCAACTCGGAAACACATAACTGGACTTCTCATCAAGTCCTAACTAGGTGGTCGCCAGCGCATATAGACAACCACTGTGATCAAATGCCCCACACGCCCAGCGGATCTGGGCCACCCGAGTTGATCCGCTGTTGCTGCAGGGTCTTTATCCTTCGGACAAGCGTACCTACACAAATGGGACCAAGAAGGGTGCAGATCGAGATCGCCCAAACGACGACCAGATAAGTGTCTGAAGAGCCGCCAGTTGGGCCTTGACCAAAGATCCCCTTCGATTCTGCGAGAGACGCAATGAGATAGCCTATCTCCCCTCGCGCTACCATTGCCAGACCCAATATTGACGATGGATACAGAGATCTGGGTTTGGGGGGAAGAGAGCTAGACGAGCTAGCACGTTCAGGCCATGGATGATCTCTCGCAGTTGAGCTGGCGGAAGCTCGCTGGGAAGAGTTGTTGCCGTTCGACGCCGATGTACCGCTACCAGCGACCTTATCTGTGGATTGATCTGCGGCTACAGTGTTCGAGTCCCTCGAGCGTGCTTTCTCTTTCTTTGTCGTCTTGTTCTTCACCTTTGCTGATGTAGCCTGCGGTGAACGGGCACAGGCCAGTCTGACGTAGGAGAAGAATGCTGTCAATGTCCGAACCAAGCTCGACACCGGCCCGAAGGTAAATCTGACCAGCCAGGTACCTGTCACGACTTTCCCGAAGAACATGAGAATGGCGTAGATGACCCCTCTCCAGAAAATATCACCCCTGAACATTTCCGTGATTGGGACAGCAAATCCGATCGAGGCCTGGCCTACATCAGTCGAGTCATCGTGAGATAGGGAGTGAACATGACTTACAAAGAAGAGCGGAATTAAGATTCTCTTGGCTGGTTCCGCATAGTACCTCTCGTAAACCAGCGAGCCAGTGGGATATTCTGCACAAGACGAGCTCATGCCACCGGATTGTGAGGGGTTTCCTTGCCCATCCCGCTCGGAAGTCACACTTCCCTGGCTGGACGCACGCTCCTGGGAGGCATTCTGGGTCCTCAATTCGTATCCAGTAGTAGATCCAAAACGACTGTGATGTTCGGCTGCTGAGCTTTGCTCGAAGAAGTCACTGATCCACGTCGCTGAGACACCCGCAAGATATGCAGCAAACAAGCTGGATGTCCCTGCGTAGGTAGCACCAGCGACCAGCCCCACCAAGAGACACGTATAAGCCAGGAAAGCGAACTGGACTGTCTTCGCAGCAATGGGAAATTTGTCGCGGTGCATGAAGAGGACCCGCAGGGTAGGCGTCACACCGAACCGGCAGACAAGCACGACGCCCACACCAAAGGCGAGCGACACGAAGATCGGTCGAATGACAGCCACCGCACTGAATGAATGGCCGCCACCGCCACCAAGGTTCGTGATGATCTGGACCATCACCAGCCCTACAACGTCGTCGAGCATCGCCGCACTCGTAGTTACAACACCCAGCCGTGTCTTGACAAGGTCCGTGGTGGAAAGAATGGTAAACGTGGTCCCCAGACTGGTCGCACTGAGGGCCGCTCCAGCGGCAAAGGCTTGCAAGGGAGTCGCTGAGACCAGTTCCATGAGGATGAAGGAGAGAGCCATGGGGGTAGCGATCCCGGTCAATGCCACGGCGACCGAAAGGAAGAGGTTCGCTCGCAGCGAAGAGAGTGAAGTCGAGAGACCTCCTTCATAGACCAACAGAATTAAGCCCAGGTACCCGAGCTGCTGAATCACGGTCTCCGCGTCGTCGCTGAGCCATTTCGCCCCGGGAGTACCCCAGAGAATGCCGATGAAGAGCTGGCCGATAAGCCCGCAGTAGAGCAGTTTGTCCAGGCAGACGTTGACCAGATTGAGGACTAGCAGGAAGCCGGATTGATTGAGAATGGTGTGGATGGAGGGCTCCTCGTAGGCAAATGCGGTTTCAGGGGAGCTCATGGTGATAATGGCACGATACTGGATGGTCGGATCTTTATAATAAGAAAGATGGCTGGGAGGCCTATATGTCAGGCAAATGATTGTTTGCGGTGATTGAGAGTTGAGCTTTTGCGGTTAGAGGACTCCATCGATGAGCTTTTACTGTCCTTTGGTACGAGTTTGAGTAGCTTAAGAGCTCTTGTTCTGAGGTATTTGCACGAGTGGTGATAATTATGATGGCAGTTGATCGACGAAACTTGGAAGGTGGTGGGTGATTTCTGCCAAGATCCCGGGGCTTGGCCACCCCACCCCACACTTCAAGGTTCCGATTTCCGCCTTCCGCCTTGAATCCACCTTCCGCTTACCGCTTTCTCTAATTTATAGCAAGTGCAGTTCAATACTCCTACCCCCAGATGGCTTAGTACCTAGTACTCTCACTGTGTCGTGGTCCATGTTTATTATGATTGGGAGAGAACACCGCGCGGTCACTTCAAGTGACTAACTCCTCGACTCAGCAGGTCGCTGATGCTCATCTTCAACACCGAGACAATTACCCTTGAATCCCGCCAGCCCAACACATCTTGAGCGGCACTGGGCGCCGTCCAACTGCTGCACATCGCTGGCTTGACCCAACAAAGACAAAGCAATACTCCAAGTGTCAGGGCTTGCGTTTAGCCTCTTTCATTCGTCGCTCTTGTCGTGCCTGTCAATGGCAGCGGTTAGGTGTTCTGTACCACATGAGCCTGATCCGTGATCGGATGATCATTGACTACTTCAAGGTACCAAGTCAATGAAGATTGGTCTATCAATTGGCCTATAGACTGAACTGTGAAACTCAATTCTGAATAGAACAAAGAACCCAAGCTCTGTGTTCCTGAAAGTCTACGTACTCCAGGAATCAAGGGATGCCATAAACATACAAAATATGTGTGAAATACTACATTCCAATGGCTACAATACGGGCCTAAGGAATCAAAAAGAACATGATCTGCACCAGGAATCCATTGGCCTATACTAGGCCCAGATTGGCAATAGGTTTGGGAAATACTTGACGGCTCGA